TTCAGTCTTTACTTATGTGCTCGCTTCTAATAAGATATTAGAGAATCACACTTAACAGTTGTTACGAGGATTTTTAGGTATTTGAAAGGTACTACTAACCTTGGTTTGTGTTATAGAAAATAAAAAGAGTACAATTTACTAGGTTATTATAATGCTGACTATCCTGGAGATAGGCTAGAGAGAAAAAACACTTCTGGAAGCTATCCGTTTTTGGGAAATAATTTAATCTCATGGTCAAACAAGAGGCTATCAAAAATTGCACTGTCAATTATAGATGCTGAGTATATTACAGCTTCTAGATGTAACACTCAGATCCTCTCGATGAAAAGCCAGCTAGAAGAATTTCCGATATATGAGAGTAACGTTACTATTCTATGTGATAATAATTTTGCTATATGTTTATCTAAGAATCCCTTTCTACATTCTACAGCTAAGCATATTGAGAAATATCTTCAATGTCCAGAAGGGAATTTTAAACTTAAAATTCATTGATACAGATCATCAATGGGATAATATCTTTACAAAACCCCTTGGTAAAGATAGAGTTGTTTTCATTCTGAAAAACTTAAAAATGGTGCTTTGTCCAGAATGAAAAAGATGAAAATCTCATAATGGTTATCTCTTAGAATGATAAAATGACACTATGGGACTTTGAGTGTTTCTAAGATGTGATTCTTCTGAAGTGTGAATGTCTCATGTATTAGAAGCGTCCTAGGTCAGAACCTTTTCTTTTTAAAATGTTTTGTCTTCTGGACACTGAAGAGTTTACTTCATTAATTGATGTCTGTGGCAGTAAAAGATTGAGACTAAGTCATTGCTTGACTTATCTTGCAAAGTGAAAATCGCCACCACACTTTATTGTTTCCAAAGAGTGAATAGGAAAAGATCGAATAAAACCTAAATAAAATAGATATCTAGATACGGGGGCCGATTATACAAAGGGAAGGTATTAGCATCTTAAACATCTGTTGTACTTAATGCGATCCACTATGTTTGTTCTAATCAAAGGGGTGTGTTATCTAAAGCTTAAACTTGCTAAAGGGAATGCATGAATGTAAAGTATATACAAAAATAAAAGTTTTCATTAATGCGCCCGCCGTGGTTGCAAACTTTTATACCTACGTACCCTCTTCGCACAATGAGAGATCAGGACACTCATAGTTCACCTAAAAAGGTGTTTTAGTTTGTTGTGTATTTTTATGAACAATGCTAGAGAAGCATGTCATTTTTGAAAAAGTTAAAAAAATATGGAGACAAAGAGATTTGAATTGGTTGATGTTTTTATTATTTGTGAAGGAGTTTGTGATTCGAACCACACCAAATACTATGAATAAAGAAAGAGCAAGCTTCAGGAATGTACTCACTCATCCTTTTCCATTGCTTAAGGCTCATGGAAGTGTCATTATCATCATTATTTATTAAGTGTTTTGAGAAGTTTGAGAAGAAAAAGAAGTTTTAGTTTTAGAATAGATGCAAAAAAGGAAAGAAACCAGACTAAAGGGAATCTAAAAAAAGAAACCTAAAGTTGTCATGCAATGGTGGCCCTAAAGTTAAGATTGAAAGAGAACTCTCTACCTAAGTTAGCATGAAAAGATGGGCCTATGGTTGAGGATAAAAGGGTGCTACTTAATGTTGACATGCTTGGATAAGAACCTGAGGTCTAATTAATTCACCTTTAACAATATGGAATCAACATGCTAAGGGAACATGTTATCAAACAAGCAGGCAAAGGAAAGAAGGTAGCAAGCAGGTTCAAAACTTAGCATACAAGAGCATATTGAGGCATACAAGATGGAAAGATAAATGGGGAAGCAACAATATCAAATTGCACTCAATAAAGTAAGTCATAAATATGGAGGAAGTATTTTTCAAGTATGGACCAAAGATAGCTCAAAGAAGCCAAGCAAACAAGAAAACAAGTTCAAGAAGACTTAGACATGTAATGATCAAGAAATGAAAGCACAAACATGATGTTTATGGAATGTATGACTTATGAAAGAAGTTAACTCAAGATGAGGTTCAATAGTAACAAAATAAGCTGATAAAACTTCATACACAAAGCAAAGTCAAACAATTTGATGAACAAACCACGACATCATCCAAGATAGGAATCACTTGTCCTAAATCAAACAAGATAAGTAAAGATAAAGAAAGGAGACACTTATATATCATGGGGAAGTATAAAGTTATCTCATAAATCATCAATCATGATAACTAAACTTTAAGAAATACTATCAAGTTAACATACTCAAAGTTTAAGGCAAACTAGCAAAGCATAAGATTGACACCATCCAAGTTAGGAATCATTTTCCCATTCAAAGTAAGTAAGCAAAAGATGAAAGAAGCTAAGGAAATTCAACATGGATGAAATTACTTGCATAAGAAGTAATCCAAGGTTGAAGTTAAGAATGGTCAAGAAGGGTGGCCCAAAACTTCATGCAAAAAAGTTGATTCAAGAAAACTTATCAAGCAAGCAAGTGTGTAGTCCATAAGATGAGACAAGCATTATAAACCATGTCATCAAGAAAATGAGAAAATATTGAGGTACTTAGGTGGTATGGGAATTAGAAAACACTAATTGACCTCAAAGGAACATGGCTCAAGAGCATGGAAATAAATCATCAAACCATAAGTTCAAAAGCTTAAGTAAGAAGGAAGATATAGGTTCTAAAGTGTCACCATATTGATTAGAAAATGAATGATTAACCAAAAGGATCACATAAGCATGGAAGAATTGATATAATAAGAGAGTATTAGATCAAGGTTTAAGTATAAAAAGTTGGATCCCAAACCCTTAAGAGCTTCACCAATTAACAATAAAAAACTAGCTCAAAGAAAGAGATGAATATAGCTTCTAACTTATCATCATGATGAATTAACAACTGAATGTTAATCAAAGAATCAAAGGAGAAATTCAATTAAAGTACCAAGACAAAGTAGGTCAGAAGCAAATTCAAATGATTCACATAAATTTGGACCTATGATTATCAAGAGGAATTTTCCCAAGTGCATTCCAAATCAAAGTCTCTAAGATGGATAAGTAAGCTTCAATTAAAGAACAAGCAAGGAAACAATGTTAAGATGATTGAGTTGTTCAATCAAAGTGAACTCAAGACCTATATCATGTTATAAGAATAGGAGAAAGAGGAAGGAATTTGATTCCTTAGGATTTCACAAAGTGCTTACCTTATATCTCAAGTAACCAAACAATTAGATAAGAAGTATGTTCAAGATAAAAGCAAAGGAAGAATTAAACTCATGAAGTCAAGTGATTCTCAAATCCTCAAGGAATTATAATTAAACTTATAATCCCTCATTCATTGATATATGGTCAAGACATCCCATGAAATGGCTCAAAGGATTAATCAAAACACAACTAGGGTTTCACAAGATAGGTACGCAATATGCACAAGAAGAATCAATAGAACAAAGACCTTGAAAGCGTCAAGAATTTAAACCAGATTGGTATGATCCTTAAGAATACATGTGCCTATAGTGTGACCAAATATTAACATCAAAGCATGTTCATAAACACTCAAGTGAAACCCTAATAGTCAAGACAAACATTAATGGACACATTTCCAAATTAAATCAAATCAAAATAGCAAAGTGAAGTTAAAATTCAAACAAAAATCATAGATATGATCTTCAAACATTAATAAGTCAGATACAAACCTTTTCATAAATTTATAATTCAAGTAAAATGGAAAATAAAATTAAGAATTGTAAACTAGCACCAAAAGACATCCATCGAAGCATGTTTGACAAATAATTTTAAAACATAATTAAATCAATCAAGAAAAATTGAAATAAAATTATCCAAGTCAGTTCAAGACAATCAAGAGCATCAAAACAATTTTAAGAATTTTTTAGGTTAGTAGAGAATTGAAACTAAAATCAAACTTCAAACAAAAACAAGAAAATGACCAAAATAAACACTCTACATAAACAATTTTCTAAAACAAAACAAATTAAATAATAAATTTGATTAAAATAATTAAAATTAACTCAACATATTAAGGATCATAAAAAATATTTTTGTGTATTTTTTGGATTAAGGAAATAAAAATAAAATAGAATAAAAACATGAATAATTGTTTTCAACTAAATGACACATTTAACCAACTTGATTAAATAAAATAGAACGAAAATCACAAAAATAAAATAAAAATTAGAAACAAATATTAGACATGTTAAACTAACTTCATGAATTTTTTGATAATTTTTTAGGTATTAAAATAAAAACAGAGAAGAAAAGAAAATAAAACAAAATGAAATGAAATGGAAATTAAATAAAACAAAACACATTTAACAGCTCTTGTTAAGTAAAAGCGCTGTAAAAAAGAAATCATGAGCCAGCGAAATAGTGACCCGCGCCCCCCCTGGTCCACTCACACCCATCGTTTTCTCTCTCCACCTTTTTACAATATTATTTGTTTTATTATATTTGAAGAGTGAGACACAAAAATAAATGCACAAAAGTTACGTGGACTTTAAGTCAAATGGACACTCCTACTTAAAGTTCTAATAAGACAAAAAAAAATTCATGACTAATTAAAACTCGCCACATCTCCGTCTTTTTCCTTGTGAACAATAAAACCCATATGCTATGCTTCCCTTAATCGATGGTTAACATACAAACTTGTTCATCGAATTTCTCCATCAATTCTTCATCAAATGAAACAAACTAAGACACTAAATTGTATTATATCGAACGTAGATCACGAATATGCTATTATGTTTCACAAACAAACACTTTATAATATAGAAAAACGAACAACAACAGGTTGGTTTCATACAATATTTCAACAATTTAAAGATACAAGAAGTTCAGATTCACATATAAACCACTTCATACCTATTGTGTGGGCCAACTATAGATGCATGATGATATTTCTAAGCTCTTAAATTCTAGAATGAGATAGATTAAAGAGGGAAAACCTTACCAAGTGGAAGATGGTACCACTGCCTTCTTCAATTCCACAGCTTAAGAAACCCTATTAGTCTTGACCTGCGAGCTTTAGAGGTAATGAAACAAGTGAAAAATAAGGAATGGCACGAGAGAAATGTGAGAGCTTGAGAAAACTCCAAAAAATGAACAAAAAGATGCAAGATCTGGATCTGAGGAGATGAGAGGTGTGCTTAGGGTTTTTGTGGGTACGAGGGAGATATAGAGTGTATGGAGTGAGTATATAGCTTACCATGGTTAGAACTTGAGTGGAGGGCAAGTTTGAGGGTTTTGGCCAAAATATGTAAGTTTATGAGTGGCTGTGTTTTTGGATGGCTTTTGATAGCATTCTAGTGCGTTTTATCCTTTACTTAGACTCATAATTAATCCCTTAAAAGATAATACAAAGAGATAGTGGGATGAGTGAGGTATAAGGAATTTGTCATTTTGAGCAAATTTGTGAGAAAAAGAAAAAATTAAGGACATGAGAGTGTATGGCTGGTTTGGGCATGTGCACAGGATTTAGTACACTAGCAAAAAGGTATTGGGCTAAGAGAAATGATCTCAACTTGCAAGGAAATGAGAAATGGCCAATTTAGTTCATAAAGGTGACTTAAATGGTGCATTCTAGCCTTAAGACTATAACTCACTCAATTCTTCAAATAAATGCATGAACTTGGACTTTTTGAAAAGGGAAAATGATTTTCTACAATTTTCATGTTGATCACTTTTTGATTTGAATCCATTAAAGTCCCCAAAAACGATCACGGAAAATTATGGCCTCATGAAGGTGATCTATAATTTTCACTCAGTGTAGAACTTCCCATGAATGATCCTTGTTCTTCCACCTTGAATAACTCCTTCTCCTTTCATTTTTTGGACATGAGCCCTCAAGAAAAAATATGTAGTATGAGACTTTCTCTATCCATTGATCACAAGTTTATAAATTTCTTATTAAAAATGAAGAAGTTATGACCTTTTGAGAAATGGTAAATGAACATAGAAATCTATCATACTTAGAAAATTTACTGTGTCAAAAAGTCAAACTTTGGTCAACTTTATTATTTCCATGATTTTATTGATTTCACTTGGACAAATCTCAACGCTTGACCATATTTAAGTTGTAGAAACAAAAATTGACCTCAAAATGTCAGGAGTTGACTTTTTCCCAATTTAGTCAATTCACAATCAACTGAGCAATTGACTCTCTTCTGATTAAAATTGATGATCAATCTTCCACCCATAAGTACTTAGGGATATGTAGAATACCATGGAATTAAGTTTTGCTCAAATAATAAAAAATAAACTAATTTTATTACAAACCCTAATTCTAGTTGAAAATGATAGGAGATGATGTCTCAAGCTCAAAACCCTAATTCCTCTGGTCATGATGGAGAATCTTTTAACCAATGATCTATTGTATGATAATAAGATGATAGTTCTTCAAAGACATTTCCCAAAGAAGTTGTTATCAAATGACTCCTTCCAATGCAACAATGAAGCGAATTTCTAAAGAAACATTTGAAAATGGGAAGAATTATAAGTTTGTCAAGGATCTTCATCCAAGACTCAGAGTGTAGGCTCCAATCATTCTTAAATGTATTCATCATAGACCATCAACATACTCTCCTAACCACATCAATGTTGATCATAAGTACATGTTATACTATCTAGCTTTTGGGACCCAAATTAATATACCTTCAATACTTTTTAAGTATCAGAGGGATATGATTAGGGAATCCATAAATGGTATAACAAATATCAGAAATTGGATACCTATGAGAAGGCTGATTTTAGATATTCTGGATGAGATCAGATTAGGTGAAGCTCTGTAACAACAAAATCTGGACCATAGTCTTGACAACGAGTTTGTGACTTCTATTGATAGACCTTTTAATGGAATCAATTCGAAGAACCAGGATCTCATTTCTTAGGTCATTAAACCTTCAAAAGATGTGAACTCAGAAGTAATATGTAACACCCGGAACATAGTTGAAGACTATCATCAGTTTGACATAACTGATCTTTCTGAGGTTGTGCTATATTATCAGGAAAGATGCATAGATCTCAATGAAACCCCCAATGTGTCTTATGATGCTATCATAAATCTTATTGAAAACTTTCTAAGATTTATACCTGAAAAAGTTCTCAAATGTATTTATGCTAATGCTGAAGAATCGAGTTTTCTCGATGATCTCCCAGATGAGCCTGTTGAACCCCTTATTAGAAAGAAGAGGAAATCTAAAAGTATTAGTGATGGACCTTCTGGAATTGGAAAATATCGTGTTAAGAAGGCCAAGATTTCTGCTTCTGAGAAAGGTCCTCTGGATTCATTTCAGAAAACAATGCTGAAGATTCAAAGAATTTTGATAGAATTTTTGTTCCTCCTCCTCCTCCTCATAATCCCTTTACAAGTAAGTCTTCTGCTGAGATTTCTTAGTCTTTTCCTCATAATCTTAATAATAGTTCATCTTCACCTCTCCCCTCTCATCACCACCTCCAACTATCACTAAAGATTTCTTACCATTCTTTCTTCATCCTAGTATTTACTTATCATCATCTTCGTCTCTATCAACACCTTCAAAAGCCATTTTTTCTGAACCAACCCTTCATAATATATCCAACAATCAACCCCATGTTTCTGAAACTTTGCCTCCATACCCTCAACCTTTCATAACGATTATATATCCACCCACTCAACCATAAATTTCTGAACCACATTTGTCCCAAATCCTCCAACCACCCAAACAACTTCCTCTTGTTGAACATTTACCCTCTCCATCCATTCATACTTCCTTCAAAATTAATATCCCAGAAATTAATTCTTTCTCTGATGACCCTCCTTCACTTGAGAAACCAGCCAATGCCATAGATATCGTTGTAATTGACACTGAAATAGATTGGTTCTTAAACCATTCTCCATCTGATGATTCTTCAGATGACATTGTCAATATCTCATCGAATTATAACGATGATATTTTGGTAAATTCCTATGACAATAAGTCTAACCTAGCCTTTCTCAAAACTAATATTTGTCTTGACCCCAAACCACAAAAACCTAGTGTTGATGAATTATTATCAAAGTTTGTGACTAAAGAAAAGATTCGTTTGAACAATTTGAGGGATGCTTGCTTAAATTGTACTAATCTAGTTGAGAGTGATGCTCTATGAAATAAATTCATAAGGTGGTTTGATTTTTTCTCCTTGGAGTTACAAGAATTATTTTACGATTCCAGTCAGAAGCAATTTCTGGAGAACCTTCCTGGTTTCATAGATATGGTTAATCTAATGTTGCTTTCTGCTCCTGAACCTCTTGTTATCATTCCTTCACTGGATCTTCAGATAGTTGTAGCTTCTACTTCTGTACATGCTGAGATGAAGCCTGATTTTGATGAACCCACTTCTACATCCACTCTTGAGATTCCTTCTTAAAATGTGAAGTCCTCTGATAATGTTTCTGCGTCTGCCTCTACTTCAGAGATTATGTTGATGAATTTAGAAGTATTTTAGAAAGAGAATGTTGAAGTTAGATCTCGATTGAATCATCAAGATGAAATGTTCAAAGATCAAAAGGAAACTAACTCCGGGATGGAATTCCTGATGAATATGATTCTATCAAGACTGCCACCCCCATCTTAATACATGTTTAGTTTACCTTTAATTTTTTATTTATTTTAAACTTTTCTTTTTCTGGTTTTGTACCTTTATTTGATTAATCAATGAAGTTCTTATTTTCGTTTCAAATTGTTTAAGTCTTTTTGATTTTGACAAAGGGGGAGAAAGTGAATGATTTTGATATACCTATTTCTCAAAAAACTTATCCCATACATGTTCTGATACATTTTGCCTCTTACGACCGTTTGACTGATTGAGAACTTTGAGAAAGTTCACTGAATTATTTCTAAACAAGCAAGTCAAAAGTCTATACAACTAGGTTTACATATTTCTGAAAATATATCATGCTTTTATATTCAGAAGTTAACCAGGATCAAAATCTTTGAAGAATTAACATGTCTTGGCTCACCATTCAGGTTCTGATATTCATATGAAAGCCATGCTCTGAGATGACGAACCATGAATTACTTTTCAATTTTTATAGTGTGAAATCAAGGTGCTGATACTTCATCTAGTTTTGATAGCAATCCAGGCTCTACGATGACAGACTAGGCATTTCTATTCAGACTCTAATAGTATGTTAATCAGGAAAGTATTCCTTCATGTTGATTAATGGTGTTTTATACTTCAAAAATATTTTATAAGTCTTGAACTCAGGGGGAGCCTCTAAATAAGCTGAGATAGTATAGAACTCATGGGGAGCTTTATAGCTAACTCTAAATTGATTTATGTGTTTTAACCAAGTAAAAATTGTTCACCAAAATACATGGTTTTGTCATCATCAAAAAAAGGAGGGGGGGGGGGACTGTAAGAACAAGATCTGGTTCTACATCTACAATAAATAATGCTTTTTATGACGAAGCTTTTGTCGCATACTGTGATACGGTGGGAAAACTGACTTAGGTGTTTTGCGTTTGATCGCAAATGTTGTGGTTAGCAAGAATCGCCACCGACTTTTCTTTTATCCAAGAGGAAAGGTGAAAAAGCACAGGAAAGACCTTTGAGATTATTTCTTGAGTTCGGGGGGTAGATTATGAAAAGGGAAGGTATTAGCACCCTTTTCATCCTTGGTTTTCCATGGGCTCTTAGTTACTTGCTAGATCACTTGCTTTTGTTTGAAATTGTGCTTTGTGTGGTTTTTGAAAGTGTTTTGTAAAGAGGCCATTGTTTAGGCAATCTTTGTAATGATTCTTGTTTGTAAGAATGTATACAAAGATGTTGATCTTTTGAAAATGTTTTCAAATTTTGTAAGATGTTTTGAAAATAGCAAGGATGTTTGTTTTGAAGTGGAGCAAGTAATTTGGAGCAATCTACCTACTCAAAGGTCTTTCTTGTTCATTTTCTTTTCCTTTGACATTGTTGTCTTACCTTTGATTTGGTAAGCAGCCCTATCTTTGGATGTAAACGGGACGGGCGTGGGTCATTGTATAACCATGATTAGCAATGTTGCAAGGTATCTTAGCATTCTTTTGGAGGGACTAAGATCATTTGTAATGCAACTTAGATAGCGTCATCGAGGGATTATGATCTTGTATTTGCTTGTTTTTGCTAAGATACCTTACATACGTAATATGACCATTTTGTGTAAGGCAACCAAGTGGAATAACCCTAGGGGTGCTTGTGTGCAAGTGTATTGTTTTC